CGAAAAAAAACTCCTTATTTGGTCTGTGGAACGTCCGACTAGTGTCCTAGCTTAAGATAGCCACACCAACTATCCGGCCACACCATACCTTTTTCAAAGTCTCTCAGTAGTAGTCGAATAACCATCGCTGCATTAATGTTCACCGTCATCATCTCCCTCCTCGAATTCCGTCCCCGTAACACGTTGCTGGATGAATTTCTCCGCCTCCGTAGCATCTTGAAAGTTTAGTTTCCGCCCCCTCCAGGAAAACTTCAGTATCGCAGGGAAAGCGAGTGTGAATCTCACCTTCTTTGCGTGCAGCAGTCGTTTGGCCGGCGTGAAGGCTTTTCTTTTATCAGCCAGACTTTTCGACATGTCAGGGAAAAACGAAAGTCTGCACCCATTCCAAGTTGCTCCGTTCTTCTCCCTCGCCACTTTGAGAACTTTATCTCTTCCAGAGCTGCGCAAAAACCGGATCATGAGCACTCTCGGGGGTTGGTCCTCATCTCGGCGTGCGGCTGGAGAACGATGCGCCCTCTCCACTTCAAATTCACCATCAATGACAATCTTTAGGCCCTCAGTTAGGATCTTTTCAATGCATGCCTTTATGTCGTCCCCTTCGCTGCCCTCTCTCAAGCCCAACATCCTAATATTATTACGACGGCTTCTGTTCTCTAAATCTTCTATGCGGCTCCACAGCGCATCAATTCGCTGGCTGTGTAGTTCGCGGTCGCGGGCCAATTGCTGTACGGTGTCCTCGGCGTCGGATATTCTGGTTTCTGCCTCAGTCAGTCTTACTTGCATGGCACTAACAGCGTTTTTCAATTCCGTTGTCGTTTCTTTGATAGTTGACACATCAGTAGCCACTGTTTTGAGCGTGGTACCCATTTTAGTCACTTCAGCCAGGAGCTTATCCATGCTCGTATTCTGTGGAGTGCTAACGTCACTGTCCACGGCAGGCTTCCCACGCGTGCCTGTTCCCTTGGAACATTTCGAGGATGACATTGTGCTAGGCTATATTTCCCGATGAAAATTAAATAAAAATGATGGCTGGTTGTTGACGATTTCCAAAAAGCAAAATTATAAGAGAGATATGGACGGATAAGTTACATTTTTCCGGTGTGGCTTACGGACAAGTTTAGTGAGCAGCCATCTTGCTCGGCGATCACACGTGACTCCCTTATTTGGCCTTTTAACTAAATATGTAAAAAGAAGAAACAGAAATACATTTTTAATATTAATAATTTATTACTATGCGATAAGTCAAGATTATTTTTCGTGTAGTCTTCTGCCCCCTGTTATCAGGTATATCTGATTGTGTATAATAGGATTTTGAGCAAAGTTTTTACCATTAAATTATGCAAAAGATGTCAGACGCAAAACATTTCAGAAACCGTGTGTATCAAATATGATACGTTTGGCATTATAGGGTTAAACGGCCTCACATCACAGTAACTGTCGGTTCCAATTGGGTCCAATTCCCATGTGGCCGATCAATCACAAAGTTTCCAAACTCATTGATTCATCAGATCCAGTTCCTGAGAGGCATGAGGACACGGTGGGAGGAAAAAACTGGATCAGAACCAGGAAGAAACATCCATCAGAACCAGAACCCGAAAGAGCAGAGGTCAGGCTAAATGATCAGAGGTTGTTCGTCCTGTTGATTTTGTTTTTTTCTAAAACGGATTAATCAAAGCGAAATCCACAAATCCTGTTTTTTTTTTGCAGTAAAGCTAGATCCTTTTTATCGTTTTTGGTCAATATTGAAATTTTTTTTCTCAAATTGGCCTCAAATGATGTTTTCCAGTTCAAAAAATGTCCAATAAAGCACATAAATTAATAATTATTTAATTTTGGGACCTGTTTATGGATGCTTTTTAGGTATTTCTGTCCCATCTAAGTGTTTGATGTGGTGGAAAGATGTCTCCTGCTGGGTGCCGCCATCTTGTGGACAACTTGTGAACTGCTCCTTGAATGCAGCGTTTCTATGGCGACAGCAAAGGGCCTGAAAAGCTTCAACAGAGCAGAAACAGTTATCAGACCAGCTTGGATGTTAACAGTCCTGGAAGATGATAAAAATTAGGATATTTTACAAGGGAACTTAGGAATCGTGCTCTTTGAATGACACATATCTTTTTCGTGTTCAGGATAAAAGTTAAAGAAAATCAAAATCAAAGAGTCCTTAAAGATGAAACAGCTTTTCTCTTCTTTATCCCGACTCCTCCTTATAGTTTCACAACACAATGATTAAAGTAAATGTGAAGGATTTGGTTCGCAAACACACACAAACACACACAGAGACACACACAGACACACACACAGACATACAAATACACATGTACAAACACAGACACACAAACACAAAACCACACACACATGCACACACACAAATACAGACACACAAACACACACACAAACACACACACACACACACAAAAACACACACACAGACACACACACACACAAAAACACAAACACACGCACAAACACAAATACATGCACACACACACACACGCAACCAAACACAGACACACAAACACACAAACAAACACAAACACACACAAACACAGACCCACAAACACACACAAACACACACCCACAAACACACAAATACTCACACACACACAAACACACACTCACACACACACTCACACAAACACACACACAGTTCCTCCGGCACTATTACAACATGTGTGCCGTCACTCGGCCTCCTTGATGGTTGTCATGGAGATGTCATTGATAAGGTGGATGGAATTATTTCCCTTTCTAAAGGAGTCCTGCGTGGATTAATGAGCTGAATCAGAGCTCTGATGGAAACGTTTCTGTAGAAATGTTTGTCTCCCCAAGCCTCCCAGCAACCGGCCGCCATCAGGGGGGCCACAAGGCAGGTCTGGTCCACATCGGCCCGCTTAGGCCCGCTTTGGTCCACATCAGCCCGCATAGGTCCGCTTAGGTCCACTTAGATCCGCTTAGGTCCACATAGGTCTGCATCAGTCTGCTTAGGTCCCCATAGGTCCGCTTAGGTCCACATCGGCCCGCATAGGTCTGCTTAGGTCTGCTTAGGTCCGCTTAGGTCTGCTTCGGTCTGCTTAGGTCTGCTTAGGTCCGCTTAGGTCTGCTTCGGCCCGCTTAGGCCTGCTTAGGCCCGTATGGGTCCGCATAGGTCTGCTTAAGTCCACTTAGATCCGCTTAGGTCCGCATAGGTCTGCATCGGCCTATTTAGGTCCACATAGGTCTGCATCAGTCTGCTTAGGTCCGCATAGGTCCGCTTAGGTCCACTTTGGTCCGCTTAGACCCGTATAGGTCTGCTTAGGTCCGCATAGGTCTGCATAGGTCTGCTTAGGTCCACTTAGGTCTGCCTAGGTCTGCTTAAGACCGCTTAGGTCTGCTTAGGTCTGCATAGGTCTGCTTAGATCTGCTTAGGTCTGCTTAGATCTGCTTTGGTCCGCTTAGGTCCGCTTTGGTCCGTTTAAGTCTGCTTAGGTATGCATCGGTCCGCTTAGGTCCCCATTAGCCCGCCTCGGCCGGCATAGATCCGCCTCAACCCGCATTGGCCCACTTCAACCCACATCGGCCTGCATCGGACTGGCTCGGCCCATTTAGGTCCGCCTCGGCCCACATTGGCCTGCCTCGGCCCACACTGGCCCACATCGGCCCGCATCAGCCCACCTCAGCCAACATTGGCCCGCTTTAACCCGGATCGGTCTGAATCAGCCCACATTGGCCCGCATTGGCCCGCCTCAGCCCGCATTGGCCCACTTCAACCCACATCGGCACGCATCAACCCGGATCAGTCTGCATCAGCCCGCATTGGCCCTCCTCAGACCACATCGGCCCAGTTTGGCCCTCATCGGCCCGCATAGGTCCACATTGGTCCGCCTCAGCCCACATTGGCCCACCTCAGCCCCCATTGGCCTGCATGGGTCCACATCAGCCCACTTCAACCCACATCACCCCACCTCAGCCAACACTGGCCAACAACGGCCTGCATCGGCCCGCTTCGGCCCACTAAGGTCCACATTGGTCCGCCTCAGCCCGCATTGGCCCACATTGGCCCACATCGGCCCACATTGGCCCACATCGGCCCACATTGGCCCGCATTGGCCCCCATCAGCCCCCATCGACCCACATTGGCCCACCTCAGCCCGCCTTAACCCAGATCGGTCCGTAGAGGTCCACTTC